CCTGGACGAAGCGCCGGCAGGGAGAGGCGGTCACCGCGCTGGGTCGGGCTGAAGCGTGTCCGCTTTTGGTTTTGTCACCTGCTTGGTTTTGGGAGAGTGAACCGTTGCTGCTACGGTGATGGTTTGGTTAAGCTTTGCTTTAGGTCTTGTTCCATGTCTAGGTTTATAGGAGTTTATTGACAGGAATGGTGTGGCCAGTGGGAGTAGAGAGGGGATCGTGCTCCCGTACTCGGCGCTGGTGAGGCTGCACCTCGAGTGCTGTGTTCAGTTTTGGGCCCCTCACTACAAGAAGGACATTGAGGGGCTGGAGCGTGTCCAGCGAAGGAGACTGGTGAAGGGTCTGGAGAACAAGTCTGATGGGGAGCAGCTGAGGGATATTACGGAAAATTTCTTTACTGAATGAGCAGTCAGACATTGGACCAGGCTGTCCAGGGCAGTGGTGGGGGCCCCCTGAATGAGCAGTCAGACATTGGACCAGGCTGTCCAGGGCAGTGGTGGAGTCCCCATCCCTGGAGATGTTAAAAAAATGTGTAGATGTGGCACTTGGGGATATGGTTTAGTAGGCATGGTGTTGTTGGGTGGATGGTTGGACTTGATGATCTGAGAGATCTTTTCCAACCTATGATTCTAGAGCAGTGTCGGGTAGAGCTGAGCATAACAGTTTCGTTGATGTTTGGTGTCAGTACATACTGTGAACCGAGGTAGACAGAGATGAATGGACTGTTTAGTAACAGAGCTCTTTCCCGTTGCTCAGCATAGGGTTGTGCGTCCCCCCTGTATTCTGGTGTTCCTGACTGACAGAGCAGTGGTTGCAGACACATAGTCACTGTCTTAGTGCAAGGACCTTGGGTTAGACTGTGCAGTTGTCAGTATGTCTGGATGAATCTGTAAGGGGCTGGGGTACTTTGAGGATAAGAAAAATGGATGTGACCCAGCAGTGAGCGCTGGCAGCCCAGCAGGCCAACCATGCCCTGGGCTGCATCCCCAGCAGCGTGGGCACAGGGCAAGGGAGGGGATTCTGCCCCTCTGCCCCGCTCTGCTGAGACCCCCCCGGGAGTCCTGCGTCCAGCTCTGGAGCCCTCAGCACAGGACAGAGCTGGAGCTGTGGGAGCGGGGCCAGAGGAGGCCCCAGCAATGATGGGAGGGCTGGAACCCCTCTGCTGGGAGGAAAGGCTGGGAGAGCTGGGGCTGTTCAGCCTGGAGAGGAGAAGGCTGTGGGGAGACCTTACTGCGGCCTTCCAATACCTGAAGGGGCCTGGAATAGAGCTGGAGAGGGACTTTTGAGAAGGGTGTGTGGGGATAGGACAAGGGGTAATGGCTTTCAACTGAAAGAGGTGAGATTTTGATTAGACATGAGGAAGAAATTCTCCACTGTGAGCGTGGTGAAGCCCTGGCCCAGGTTCACAGAATGTTCGGGGTTGTAAGGGACCTCTGTGGGTCATTGTCTGGGTTGCCCAGAGAAGCTGTGGCTGCCCCCTCCCTGGCAGTGTTCAAGGCCAGGTTGGACGGGGCTTTGAGCACTGTGGTCTGGTGGAAGGGGTCCCTGGCCATGGCAGGGGGGTTGGACTAGATGACTTTTAAAGTCCCTTTCAACCCAAACCGTCCTGCGATGCTACTGACCCAAAAACCAGTTTGTAGCACAGTGGTTCCTGCACACACATAGATGAAATCTAATAGCATAGGAAGAGGCTCATCCAGTTAGGTGCTTTTCAGCTGTAGTTTTATGAGTTATGCAAGCTGGAATAAACTGATGCTAGATTTGGCAATACCACTTCTTTCTGCCCCAGGTCCCTGGTGCTTTGTTTCTCTTCCCCTGTGCTGTCAAAAATGTGGGTTTTTTTAGTGTTAAACTGGGTTGGGGAACTGGTTTGGCTTAAACCCAACCTTATTATGGCCAGGTTATTGGAATGTTCAGTCTGGTCTGAGTTGGGATCCTCACTGCACGTTGCTTCTGGTATGGTGTGAAGCAGTCAAAACACTGCTACCGCAGCCTCTGCTGCTCCAGTACAAGCCTGTGGGTATGTTCTAATTTCCTACTGCGGGATGCAAGGCTCGTTTCCTTATTTAACAGATCCCAGAACAGCCTGATGAGGTGGGAAAAAAAAAGCTCTTGAGCATGTTTCTTTGTTCAGGGCTGTTTTGTGTTTTCGTTAAGGAGCACTTAGGAGGAGAGGAGCTAAGAAAAACATCTGCTGTTAAACATCATGTATCAAGTATAACGCATATGACGTGTTCTGGGGATTTACTGGAATACAGAGGATAAGCACAGCAGCTTCAGGCATGTTATTGCGTGAAATGCCTTTTAAACACCTGTTGCTTTCGCCATAAGAATAGGAGGATGGCCAAATGTTCAGACTTTAGCTTTGAACTCTTGTTTCTTGCATTAGTTGTTGCCTTGGGTGGAACATGCTGCAGAGGTCGTTTAGGTAAATGCCTGTCTGAAATTGTGAGGCTGGAGCAAAAGCTGACATTTCGTTAATCATTAGACTTATGACTTTAGAATCTTCCATAGTTCTTATATGCAGTTGTTCTCACCCCGTTATACAAGCTTGTCTAATGCCTTGTCTGTGTTAGTAGTCATGATGTGATTTTAAGACTGCTTTACCTTGGGTAGTGTGTAATTCTTGCAGTTTGCTCTGTCTAGACAATAGAAGTAGACAGTTTTGCGTTGGTTTATCTGGTGTAAAATCCCTAAAGTGCTTGCACAGTTTAGAGTCATTGGAGCTACTTGGGTGCTTACAGAATCACAGAATCACGGAATGGTAGGGGTTGGAAGTGACCTCTGTGGAAGCAAAAACCAGCAGATTGGAAAAGAGGCAGTTTGGTTGTTTAATCTGCACAGTTTTCAGTTGTTCTCTGCAGTATTATTAGAAGAGGAGCGGGAAGCTCCGCAGCGGATAGTTTTGCTTTTAAGGGCAGCTTTTTCTAAACTCTTGTGGGCTGGGAGCAGCTAAGGGAGTTGTATTTTGAATGCTATTACTTTTGCTTGGTGCCTTGGTACAGCCTTGAATTTTTTATTACTTTTTGAGGGAAATGTTGTTTCCCATTGAAAAACTCAAATTAAGACATTAGCCTGACAGGTACGCGGTCAGTTCTACTGTTCAGCTGTTACAAAGAACTGCACTGTTACTGTTTTAATCCTTTTAGTCAAACTGGACAAGAGTACTTCTAGATTTTTTCATAATTTTTTTTTTCCATGGGGACAGCGTAGAGGTCTTGATTTTGAGGTGTAAGGAGAAACATCCAAAATTATGAAGGCATTCATTTTCATTTTTGTTTTGCATTAATATGTAATTTTCCACCTGAATCTATTGGCTGCAGCATCATTGTTTAGCAGTCCAGCGGCTTGGGGCATGTAAACAACTAGTGAACAAATTTCTGTTGGAACTTTCCTACTGGTGATACAAACAAAAATTGGTACTAAAGATGAACAAGACAGTCTTGAGTGTGTTATCATAAAGAACTGTGCATTACTGGTCTCTCCTGTTTCAGTAAGAAGTGTTTTGAAGGGACATCGCTAATAAAAATATGTACTTTGCTGAAATGCTTTTCATCTTCAGAGCACTTTGCCACTTTCTTGTGTTTTCAGCTCCCCAGAGATGCAGGTAGATCTGAGTTATCCCTGCTGTACTCGGAGGAAGAGTTGATGTCTCTGCCTAAGGATTTGTTTCCCTTGGCTTTGAAGTCAGTAGAAAAACTGACACTGACTTTTTTTTTCTTTTTTTTTTTTTTTATTGCCCCTAAAGAAATATTTCCTTTGATTTCAGTACAAAGTTGAAATAGACCTGAAGTAGCATGTCGAGCTCAGCTGGAAGAAGAGCATGACAACGTAGAATCCATGCCAAGGAATAACCAATTTCTCTTTCTTTTACCTCTAGGGCTGGGTCCGCTCTGTCCGATCGCAGAAGGAAGTTTTGTTCTTGCATATAAATGATGGGAGTTCTCTGGAAAACCTCCAGGTGGTTGCTGATCCCAGCCTGGAAAATAGGTTGGTCTGTTTGGGATACCTGGAAAAATCTCTGTGTTGATCAGTGCTTGGAGGGGTCTGCTCGGGCCTCCTTTCATAGAATCATTAAGGTTGGAAAAGACCTCTTAACATTATCAGGTCCAACTGTCCACCCAACACCACCATGCCTGCTAAACCATGTCCTGAAGTGCCACATCTACATGTTTTTTTGAACACCTCCAGGGATGGTGACTCCACCACCTCCCTGGGCAGCCTATTCCAATGCCTGACCGCTCTGTCAATAAAGATATTTTTGCTAATATCCAATCTAAACCTCCCTTGATGCAACCCAAGGCCACTGCCTCTTGTCGTATCCCTATTTACCTGGGAGAAGAGACCAACCCCCACCTCACTACAACCTCCTTTCAGGTGGCTGTAGAGAGCAACGAGGTTCCCCCTCAGCCTCCTCTTCTCCAGACTACAACGCCCCAGCTCCCTCAACCGCTCCTCATATGACTTGTTCTCCAGACCCCTCACCAGCCTCTTTGTCCTTCTCTGGACATGCTCCAGCCCCTCAATGCCCTTCTTGTATCGAGGGGCCCAAAACTGAACACAGCACTCCAGCTGCGACCTCGCCTGTGCCGAGTCCAGGGGCACGATCCCCTCCCTACTCCTGCTGGCCACACCATTCCTGACCCAAGTCAGGATGCCCTTGGCCTTCTTGGCCACCTGGGCACACTGCTGGCTCATGTTCAGCCGGCTGTCGACCAGCACCCCAAGGTCCTTTTCTGCTGGGCAGCTTTCCAGCCTCTCCTCCCCAAGGCTGTAGCGTTGCGTGAGGGTTGTTGTAACCGAAGTGCAGGACCACTGTACAGTGGCTCATGAGGCTGCTGGGGGAGCCTCCAGCAGCTGGCACCTGACCACAGGAAGGGCACTGCCGCAGCCTGGGATCTCTGGATGTGTTTTTTTAGGATAGAGAGTGTCTGACTGCTCTATCTCCATTTGGCTGAGGCGTTGTGGTTCAGCTGCTTGTCCTGTGAGATTAATTTGGACCACATTCTCTTAACAGCTGTAGCAGCATGGGCATTCTGGACTACTGTTGGTCTTGCTTGGAAATCACACAATGTAGCCAGGGATAACTGTCCCCCAGGTTTTTGGAGAGTGCTGTTGCTGGAACAGCTTGAGGGCTGGCTTGTTAGGCATACCCGCTAGATGGACATGCCTGTTCTGTTAAAAGAAGATGCAAAAATAATGCACTCATTTTACAGCTTCATTTTGTTTGTTACTCAGTTATTCTTTGGGCTAGGGTTGGGAGTTTCAGGATGATCCAGGAACCTTCCACGTGTAATGTGATTTTTTTACAAATTTTTTTTTTTATTGTTTTCTTCTATAAGCTTGTTTTGTGCCCACCAGTAGCCCCTTCTAATAAAAGCCTCTCTCTTTTCCCCTTGCTTGTCCAACACTCCTACGTTGTCCTAAATTATTCAGTAGCTTTGTGAATCTGTTCGAGTTCCCACCTATGCGTTTAATAATTTCTCATTTCAGTTAAGCCCTATGGCTACAGTATCTCGTGGCATCTCAAGCAGTCCAGCTCAACTGACAGGGATCTCACTTCTGAGTGCGGTTGACTTTGTATCAGTGCCTATTTAAGCTGTTGTTTTTTCTTGGTTTCTTAGAGACCTGACTTTTGGAAGTGCAGTGGAAGTCGAAGGAAAACTGGTCAAAAGTCCTCATAGCATGCAGAACATGGAGTTGAAAGCTGAAACCATCCGTGTGGTGGGACCTTGTGATACTTGGGTATGTCGCTGCAGGACCACTAATAAATTTCAAAAGGTCCCAGTATCCAGCAAAGCATGCCTCAGACTGTGTGTTCTTTAAGCCTGGGTCGTCCTGCAGGCTTTGATTTGTTAGCAGTGTCTGTAGGGCATGTCAGAGGAGAAACATGGGATCACCATGGAAGCTCTCTTTGGGGGCAGAGCTGTTTCTACGTGGAAACTGGTGCACATGCTAGCAGCTAAGGGTGTCCATTTGACCCATGCCAGGTGGTTTACCTGGTAAGTCTGGGTGGGATATGAATGGAAGAAGCAGTGGGACTGGCTAAATGCTCCAGGTTGTGCAGGTGGAAGAGCTGTGTCTGCCACAAGCACGTTTGGAACCAGGTTCACTGTTGCAGCTGGCTTTCAAGGGGGCTCAACATCCAAAAAGTGGAGCGTTTCGAAGCACTACTACCTTCTCTTGTGTTCATGCCTCTTGTTCTGCCACAAGCAATACAAAATCCAATAGAAAAGCAATAGAAAAGATAGGTAAAAGTATCTAGTCCTTGTCTGCTCTGTGATGATGATTGAGTTTTAGTATTCAGAGGTGGCGTTCCGTGAATAGCAATAAAACTGTATTGTCTCCAGGTTCTCATCCTCTTATTTTTCTTTGCTTGTTGTTTTCAGTCATTCCCCCTGAAAATGAAGAAGAGGCACCCACTGGAGTATATCCGACAGTTCCCTCACCTACGATGCAGAAGCAGCACGCTCAGCTCCCTCTTGAGAATCCGCAGTGAAGCCACAGCAGCCATCCACTCGTTCTTCCAGGTAGCCCCTTCTGTACCGAGCCTTGTGTGTAAAACGCTCCCCCAGTCTGGCTTTGCAGGAGCGCGTTAGGAGGGAGGGAGCATCATGTGTTGGCTGCAGGCTGTGGATTTTGGACACGGTGGTTTTCTTTCCCAGCCTGATCTGACTGAGGCCCTGGCCAGGCTGTTGTGTTATGATCAGGTTAGCGCATCTGTGGTCTTGTTAGCATCTTTCCACCCGTTTCCTGTTATTTTATCCCTTTCACTAAGTTGCAATACAATGGCCTGCGAGTGTGTGTGGTCTGTGGAACATAATATGGAGTCGTTTAACGCACCCTCAGCGGTGACCTTACGGTGCTTGGACAGAAGCCTCCTCCCACACGGAAAAATCTGTGACGCAGGAAGGCTACCAACAAACTGACTCAGAGCTTCACGTTGTTGTTCTCAGTTCTTACCTTCCTATTACTGCGTTCTGGGCCTGTGTGGAGGCGGTTAGCTGGGGTTAGGAGACTGCTGTTTTGGTGCATTTCACACTGATGGATGGGAGGCACTGCTGTGTGAGTGTGTCCCTCTTAAGCTCTGAGCGTAGTACAGGCTTTGTGCTGGCGGTGGCGGCTTCGAATTAACTCTGATTCCAGATGCCGTGTAGAGACCATTGAATGCTTTGCATGAGTAGATAAAGAAAGGTAACAAGTCCTCTGGCGCACCTGAGCCCTTTTAAAACTGTTCATTGAAAGAAACATGTTTTAGCTTAAACAAACTGGCTTTAGTTTGTGGAGAATCGTTCTCAGAGCATTCTAATGACAGAATTCATATGTAGTAATTAATATGACCCAAAGAACAGGTCAGAATTTTTGAAATTGAATTTCTGGTCATGAGTATGCTGGTATTTGTCACTTGCAGTAGCAAAGAAGGCTTGCTTGCTTGCTCTGAGAGTTATCTGTCTGGAATTGCATGGTATTTAGAAGATTTTTTTTTTTAAGAGCCTGATGGAAGTAACTGTGTCAGGTAAAGCTGCTGGTGGTGGTTTCAGCGTTGTGCCAGCTTGCAAGACAGAGCCCGGCTCTGCTGGGAATCGGTCTCTGCTGGTAGGTGCCACTAGATGGCATTGCCCACAACAGTTTGTGATGGCAAACATGTGCAAGGAAGCCAGCCGAGATAGAAAAAAGCACGTTCTTCTGACAAAGGCTTAACTTCTCCAGATTAACTCCAGTGCAGACTCTGACATATGTTCCTGTTTACGATGCTCAAGAGCTGAGCAGTATAAAAAAACCCCCTGTAAAGTAGCTGCTGCAGCTAAATAATGATACTTTCTATTTTTTAAAAGGGACCAGGAAGATTTGGTCCCAGACCTGATCTTTGGGAATGCTTATGTCATGACTCTCCTAGCACCAGGAATGTCTGTGGCTTGCTTCATTTCTGGTGGAAGGAAAGCAGTCTTTTTAAATTGCCACTTACATCATCCCGAGAATGTTGCAGTTTTCGACATGAGAATGTCAGAATATACCATAACTAGAAAATATAATCAGTGTTTTCACTGTGCAAAGCTGTAAAGACCTTAATGGTGATAGAAAATAAGTGGGGTTTTTTGAATACACACTTGATAATTATCTAGACTCTCTGGAACCTCAAAAACTCTTTTTTTAGGCTGTTCATTTCCAGCACTGAATGTAATGCCAAATGCATTTGGTTTGGATATTGAAGGCTAAAATGGTATCTTTAAATCTTCTCCTGAGTATTGTGGTACATGTGGGATAGGAACGTTGTTCCTAGGCGCAGTAAAATAGTTGCGATGTGAATGGAAACCTCGGCTTTGCACATTAACTGACTTACAGGTTTGTCAGAGCCAATAATGGGACTTGAAGTATTATAGGACATTTTGTAAGGGGAACTATGCAACAGGGTTTTGTGGGATTCTCACCTTTCAGAACTGTGCAGTTCACATTCCTTTCCAAAGCACGTAAGGGATCTTCTGCGTGAAATGAGCTTCCTTCCGCATACAGTAGCAGCAGTTGTGTAATTTAGGCAATTTTCCAGAATCTCACGTAGGATAGGCGGCCACATGACCAGCAGGTCTGTGGACTATGCATGGGATTATGGCAGAGACCTGCATTTTGTATTGGTAGGCTGAAACTACCCTCCCCAGGCAAAGCGAGTCGTTCTGGCTCCAAAAATTCTTTCTGTGTAGTAACTGGATCTCGGTGAGGAGCTCCTGCCAGGCACTCGGCAAGCTGAGGTCTTTGCACCTGTAACCAAGGTAGTCTAGATCTGACTGCAGGGACTTTGCTCCCTCTTGGCTGTGTTACGGCACTTCCACAAAATGCATTGCATGTCTGCACAAACTCTGTGGTCCAAATTAATTTTAGCTTGATTCTCAGGATGGGCAGTAAATACCGCTCCTGTCTTCTTAACCTTTTAACTAGCTGGTGATAAGGACCAGGACCTGTCATGTGAACGGTCAGTTTGTATTATTCTGATAAAAGCTTTAGAAACATTTGCTTTTTTATCTGTCTTTATTTACTAGTGTTTTGTGTAAATAGAGAATGGGTTATGCTGCATCATTGCCTGTATCACGGTAATGCTGGCACACCCTGATTTTAAAGGGGTTCTCTTTGTGCTAGACGTTATAGTGATACAAGAGAAAACAAATCCTTAGTTCACAGCTGAAATCAGCTAGTTCCAGATTCTTGTTTGCCTTGACATGCATGGTGTGGCCTCTGTGCTCCACCACTGATCTCTGCAGTGAAACTAAGGAAGGTGATGGTTAGTAGAGTTCTGCTCCCAGTTTTGCCTCTGACATGCTATATGTGATGTCTAAGGTCTGCTTAACGTACCCAGCCACTGAAAATTGGGTTGCAGCTGGTTTAAAAGCCTACGGCTGCACTGCAGAGAAAGACAGAGAATAGGCGCTCTTTCTTCATCCAGCCTTCCAGGTTTTGGAGGCCTCTGCTGGACCAATGAACTATTACAGGAGTGGGTAATTCCCCAGGTGTCTACAACATGACCAAGCCAGGGTATACCCTGTGTCTTAAAATCGGTTTGACTTTGATATCTCAGAAGATATGAGGTGGGACTGACATTTTCACGCTGGCTGGATGTTTTTCAGGCCTCTCTCCCATGCAGTGTGTGATATCATAGAATGGTTTGGGTTGGAAGGGACCTTAAAATCCTCTCATTCCAAGCCCCTTGCCATGGTCAGGGACCCCTTCCACCAGACCACAGTGCTCAAAACCCCGTCCAACCTGGCCTTGAACACTGCCAGGGAGGGGGCAGCCACAGCTTCTCTGGGCAACCTGTGCCAGTGTCTCACAGCCCTCACAGCAAAGAATTTCTTCCTTATGTCTCATCTAAATCTACCCTTTTTCAGCTTGAAGCCGTTACACCTTGTCCTATCACTCAGCAGAGCGGGGCAGAGGGGCAGACTCCCCTCCCTCGCCCTGTGCCCACGCTGCTGGGGATGCAGTCCAGGGCACGGTTGGCCTTCAGGGCTGCCAGTGCGCACTGCTGGGTCATGTCCAGCTTTTCATCCCCCAGCACCCCCAAGTCCTTCTCAGCAGGGCTGCTCTCCATCCCTTCATCCCCCAGCCTGTATTTGTGTTTGGGGTTGCCGCGACCCAGGTGCGGGACCCTGCACTTGACCTTGTTGAACTTCATGAGGTTCGTACAGGCCCACCTCTCCAGCCTGTTAAGGTCCCTCTGGATGGCATCCTGTCCTGCCAGCGTGTCGACCGCACTACACAACTTGGTGTTGTCAGCAAACTTGCCAAGGGTGTGCTCGATCCCGCTGTCCATGTTGCCAACAAAGATGTTAAACAGCACCGGTCCCAGTACTGACCCCTGAGGAAAGCCACTCGTCACTTCTGTCATCTAGCACACTTGATCATTTCTCTTAGTGGAGAGCACTAGGAGAGCGTCCTCTACCCAAAAAGCTGGAAGAAACTGTAATGACCATAGGGGTGAATTTGATTGAAACTGTCAAAAAATATGAAAATACTGGAGGACATGAGAAGAAAGGGGACTGGTGCAGAGATGGGCAGATGCAAAAACCGGTAATAATGGTGTAAATCTCATTTTTCTTATGAAACAGTGAAAAAAACACATGTAGTAAACACTGAAATGTAAATCAGGACACAGTTTAGCAGTCATGGTGGTGTTGACAGTTGGACTTGATGATCTTAGAGGTCTTTTCCAGCCTTCATAATTCTATTATTCTATGATTCTAGTGCTCCATCTTTGTCCATGTAAGGCAGAAGTTGACTAAAAGTGCAAATGCTGTCCTGGTTGGGGACTAGTAGCTGAGTTAGGATGTGTGCTGGTTGGTGTCATCCCTGAAGTTGATGTTTGATATCTTTAGCTAGTTAACTTTAGTGTTCTGTCTGTTCCAGGATAATGGCTATGTGCATATTCATACCCCGATAATTACATCAAATGACTGCGAAGGTGCTGGGGAACTCTTTCAGATTGAGGTAAGTTGGGTTGCGTAAAGTTTGTTTTGATTTTTGCTTGCAGAGCAATTCTGGAGTTGTTGAAGGCTGGAGGAAATGTTTGTCTTATCAAACCTTTCCTTTATGTACTTCTGTTATTATCTTTTTAATGTAGCTGTCCTTTGCTTCAGCTAGTGATTTAGACAGAGCTAAACAGATGCATTAGGGTTTTTTATTGCTGTTTTGTGCTTTAATCAGCACCTTTTGTACTGATGAGCTTTTTCTGTCTGTGTTGCTGTGGAAAAGTTTACAAAGACAAACAGAGGGAGGTGGAACATCTTAGTAAACAGAAAGATGTGAGCAGAAGAGCCCCAGAGATGTGATGAGACGTTCAGGACAGCCTACTACATGCAAATATTTCTTAGCTTTGAAAGGAAGAATATAATTCACCGTGAGATAACTCCTTAAAAAAAAGTCAGCAGTACCTAAAACTCCTTTTCACCTGTGTAGATATTCCTCCCTACAAGCTACTTCTGTTGTATGTTGGAATTCTCCCTCAATATTGCCAAATCTCCCTGTCCGTTCACCAAATTACTGCAACAGTCTGTCATTATATGAAGTACTTCACGTCTTGGGTCAACACCTCCTGTGAAACTTAGATACAGCTATAACCACTGAGTTCTTCCCCACAGATTTCTCATGATTCCTAACCCCCACATGCACGAATCATAAGAAATTCCATCTGCCTTTTATACTTCTGCATTTGAAATTCACTCTTCTGTCTCAAACAGTTCCATCCATCGCCACTTATGCTTATTGGCTCCAGCCTTGCTGGTGAATCATCGGTAAGCAAAAGAAAAATTGTTGAGGTAGCAGTCGCTTGCTGCGGGATCACATCTTCTGCTCTCTGCGCAGCCTCATGACGAAAAGCCTCCGTGTTCTGGTTCTTCAGGATCTCGGGGTCTAACCTGTGCTACTAGTGATTCCCTTCCGGACCAGTACATGTGGCTCAGCTTTTTGCTTGCTGGGACAATAGAGTTGATTAGCTAAACTAAATTGTTCTTGTTTAATTGAGATCCCTTAAATGCTACCACAGGTTCGTTCCAGGCTGTTGCATACAAATTAAGATGTGAAAACAAGTGACACTTAATGATGAGAACATTACACAGTTTGCAGCTGTACAGTGTATTACAGATTGTATCCACTTGAAAGCTGTAGAGGATGCAGGACTGCAGCGTAGGTGGCTGGTAGTAACAGAAGCACTGATGCAAACGATGATTGAGGTGCTAAATTGTGAGTCTGAAACTTGTATAAACTGGATCTTAACTAAATGCCTAGTTCAAGGCAAATCTCTTGCTCTATCTGCAGTGTGATTGGTTAGGTGTAGATAATTTATTGGACAAATGTAGGGACTGCTGTGCTTGAAAGCTGTGGAGTAAATGCCGAGTCAGATCCCATAAAATGGCCTGTGCTACAAAGAAACTGCTTCAGAAACCCACTTTCTGCTGGAAAGTGGGAAGTTCTCCCTGATTTCCGGTTTCTTCTTTGAATACTGCTTCATTATCTGGCCAAATTTAGGACTTGGTTTTGTTTCTGCAAAGTTCTATTCAGAACTAGTCTTGGCTAGCAGAGATCCAAGACCACTTGATACCCTGCTGTGACCATTTCACTGGAGCAGGGACACCGTTTCCGGACAGTGGAAATCTGGGGAAGGTTAAGCCTGCTTTGGGCCATGCACGTGAGGCTGTCAGACCTAAAAATAAGGGTGACAGAAGGGTGTCATACATAAAAATAAGGGCGTGGTATTTGCAGCGAAGCCCAGAGTCTCTATATACTTTTAATTAAACAAACCATCAAGACATTCCCTGTCTGCTGTATTCATTCACTTTTTAAACTAGCCTTTAATTCACTGCTTGCACAGGCCAAGGGAGAAAATAAATTCCTGTTCCTCTTTATATTTGAGCAGTAGCCAAGAATCGTGGTGATGGGCATTGGTGAAAGCAACCTGCAAATTAGATTCATCAATTTAAAAAATGCTTAAATCCTGTGCTTAAAATATCAAGACCTATCCTCCCGTTGCGAGCAGAGCATGAATTGGTGTCCTATTGCTCCTGAATTTGTAGTAGTTACAATACACCTGCTGCTTACGGGTTGTTTTTTCTGCCTTTCTTTTTTTAGCTCCCTTGGGCAGTCTATAAAACTGATAATCTCACCGGTTTAGCTGTCCTGCTGCGGGTGGGATAAGTTGGAAGGCTTTGGCTGAGTAGCCTTTAGGACCCAGGCAGAGGCTGTTTTGCTCCCACTGTGAACCTGTGCCTTTTAATAGCTGTCTTCTCCTGGCTGCCAGAATTTTAATCCTCTGACGAATGTCCGATGGCTGCTCAGGCCCGTGCATTCTTTGTAAATGGTGGAAAGTGAAGAGTGGGAATCTGATTTTACATGAGACATGAAGAGATGGGGGGGAAGAAAGCGTCAGAAGGAAAATACTTTTTGAAGGCATATATCCTTTGATTCCTAGACCTCTTAATCCTGTAGGATTTGCGTTTGTTTATATGTTCAGCTTCCTCATTATCTTTGTTTGGTTTTGGGCGTACTGATTAGTCTATACATAGCTTTGCTGAGATGTTCTCATACTAGGGGTCGGGATGGGGGAGAATCCCTTCCCTCACTGCTGGGTCAATCAATTCAGCTAAATATTTTTAAAAAGAAGCACTGTAACAGTGAAAAGAGGGTGGTAGTGAACAGAGGAGACTTCAAATAAATCATAAGATAGTAAGAACTACAGAGAAATCTTTTGCAGTTGAGACTTTCTAGACCTGAAAAGTGTAGGTTGCAGAAAAAGTTTGAGGAGAAACTGCCAGAAGTGTGAAAACAGCCAGGCAGACCCTAACCCGCACGGAGAACATCAGTGACACTGGCTTGTGGATTTCTGCACCTTTGATGGTGTCTGCCTCTGGTGGAACCCTGGAGCGCGGAAGCGTCTTGCTTGTGCTGCTTTCTTTAAAGTAAATTTACTGAAAACACCAAAAGAGCTTTGAGTATTGAAAGCTGGGTTTTAGTAGAATGCAAAGTAGGACAAAATAATTCTTGAAATAGAGGGAACACAGATCAGCAGGGTGAGATGACCCTTTTTATTTTATTTTAATTTAATCTGAGAATAATTCCTCTGTACCAGCAGCCTTAGCACCTCAGGGCAGATCCTTTCCTCGCTTCTTCCTTTTTTTCTTCTGAAGTCTAAAATACTTAGCAGCTTTGCATATTGCAAGAAACTTTACCCAGTCCCCTTCTGGGGCTGCTTCCTAGGAAATCTGCCGTTCTTTTGTCTTTGTGACCCAGCTGCATGTCTGTTCCCTACTATTTTCAGTAGCCTCCCACTCTGTCTGCAGCGTTGAAGGCTCATTGCCTTCCGGATCTCTTGCTCTGTCTTTTCCACTTTGCTCCCTGGAAAGTTTCCTTGTTTGGCTGTCCTCAGCTGCTGTGGAGAAGGTGGAGGCTCCTCTGTGCTCTGGAAGAGTCTTTCTGGCCCGGGATGCTCCAGCCGTTAGGAAGGGGCCGTGTGCAGTGAGTTACAAAACACAGCAGCTGCATTGGCAGTAACAGCTCTTTAAAGCAGATCTCACATGTGTTTTGTATTGCTTGTGGCCTTATTCCTTCCTGGGGACCTCACTCTGCATGTAAAGGACTGCTGCACTCTGCCTGGTGGCTCCAGTGAAGGTAATATGTGCTCTTGATCAGACTTGTCTCCCCACATACACACCTCATTGCATCTGGGTGGTGTGTGGCTGAACCCAGGGTCTGGATTGGGCCGCATCCAGGTGGGGTTTGAATATCTCCACAGAAGGAGACTCCACGAACCCTCTGGGCAACCTGTTCCAGGGCTCCGTCAGCCTCAGAGGAAAGAAGTTCTTCCTCATGTTCAGTCAGAACTTCCTCTGCTTCAGTTTGTGCCCATTGCCTCTTGTCCTGTCGCTGGGCAAAACTGAGAAGAGTCTGGCCCCATCCTCCTGACACCCACCCTTCAGATACTTATCGGCATTTCTGAGGTCCCCCCTCAGCCTTCTCTTCTTCAGGCTAAACAAGCCCAACTCCCTCAGCCTCTCCTCGTAGGAGAGATGCTCCAGTCCCCTCGTCATCCTTGTAGCCCTCCGCTGGAGTCTCTGCAGTAGCTCCTTAGCTTTCTTGAACTGGGGACCCAGAACTGGACACAGCACTCCAGATGGGCCCTCACTAGGGCAGTGTAGAGGGGGAGGAGAACCTCCCTCGACTCTTCTTCGTGCACCCCAGGATGCCATTGGCCTTCTTGGCAACCAGGGCACACTGCTGGCTCATGGTCAACTTATCCACCAGCACTCCCAGGTAATACGTGCCTGCTGCTGGAGGTGCAGAAACTTACTCCTCCTGTTCCTTTGGTACTGCTGAAACATAGCATTGTCGGCACCAGAGAAGGCTGGGATCTGCTGGGGGCAATCCCAGTGAAATGGAACGGAGTTTGTGTCTGTCAGGTGCTTTCCCCTTTGGAGGTGCGTCGCGGTCTGAGAGGCAGCCGGTCACTGGCATACTGGGACTTCAGAGAGGTGCTCAGTGGGGATCTGGGTAAGCTGAAACTGAGCTGAGGGAGGGCTTGCTCCTGCATTTTCTAGCTCTCCCAGTTTCTGCTTGTTTCTACCTGGTTCATCCCTGCCTGTAATTCCAGTCCATATTTATGAGATGTTTGTCTGGACAGAACCAGCTGCTGTTGCCCAATGCAAGTCCAGCTGATCAGGATTAGGACTGGAATTGCGAGGAGGGCTTCTTGGAAGTTACGAATTTTGCAGTGGTTGTCTGAAAAGGAAAACACGATCATGTTTGTAATGGGACATCGCCGAGGGCGGGTGCGAATTAAAGATGTGGTGCTGTGAAGCTTCAGCAGCGTGGCGTCGTGCGCCTGCGCTAGAGCTACAGCAGCAGTTTCTGTGAGCTTTTCAAGTTGTCTCTCATCCCTTTGTGCATTTGGGTTGCATGGAGTGAAAGATGGAATCAAACGGTTTATACTCTCCTGAAGC